AGAGAGAGAGAGAGAGAGAGAGAGAGAGAGAGAGAGAGAGAGAGAGTTTACCAGCCTCCAACCCCTTTCACATCGGTGAAGTCATGTCCGCTGCCCTCCTGCAGGTTCCGCGGCGCAAGGTGTCCCCCAACCGCCACACGCCGACCTCGTCCTCGCCCATGCTTTCTCCCTCCGCCGTGTCGCCAGTCCAGGAGACCAAGAAATTCCCGTCTGCCAAAGACCAGCAAGCCGCCAAACGATCGTCCTTGTCCTCAGACATCACAGCGTCCTTTTCCTCCGGTGTTGCCGCCTCTATGCCTTCCCAGCCAAACGACTCCTTGAAGAGGAACCGAGCTCAGAGGGCGGCGGCCGAGGAGGCGCGCCGGAAGTCGCAAAGCGAAAGTGGAGCTAACTCGGCTGTGCAGCAAGATTCGGCGACGGATGCCGTAGACTCGGCCAGCTACGAGCAGGTACTTAGACCAAAACGACAGCAGACCAAAGGGACGTTGGGCCGCGACGACAGCGTGGGTGACAGACGGGGGATGTACTTCTCGGAGACTGTCGACTCCCCCCGAGCTAACGGTCTGGATAAGTCGTCCGACCCGGTGAGCGCCACTGTTATGACCGGCGGCGACTTGAATACTCCAGCGGACGAGGATGTGGTGGATACTTCGTCCTCCTCCTCCTCTTTGTTATCCTCCTCCCCTCCCCCGTTCCTCCCGCACTGTTCCAGACTCGAGCATTCCACGCGGCCGTCCGCCCGGCTCCGCGGTCTCAGGGCTGGGACCGCCGGAACGTCAGCATCTACCACCGCCACCGTCACCGCCCCCAGCACATCATCAACACATTCCCAGCAGCCCCGCGGCGGCAGAGACTCGGACTCAGCGTCTTCCACAGCGGGCTCGGGGTCAGGGGTCACGCGACGACCCCGGAAAACGGTTCCGTCTGACTCTGGAGGAGCCACCGACGCCCCGGCTCTATCAGCGGAAGAGGAGGCAAAGAAGAGGCTGAGCCGGGAGGAGATCGAGGCGGCGCTGGAGCGGGCAGACACCTACCTGGCCACTCTAGGCTCGCCCGACGACACTAAGGGAGAGAAGGCGGCCAAGGAGAGGGAGTCACGGCGGAGTCAGAGCCACGCCGCCTCGGCTGCAACGCGACGGAGATTTCTCTACGGCGACGAGGCCGATCCGCCGTCCATGTCGTCGTCCACGTCATCATTATCCTCGTCGTCCGCCGGTCGGGCAGAGGCCAAGCAGCCTGAGCAGCAAAATCAGCAGCACGACGTGGATTCAGCCAAGGCCGCCGTCAGCACTCACCCCGAACCGGCATCGAGCACAGAATCAAAATTCATTCCTGAAGCAACAGCAGCAGCAGCGGTGATCTCCTCCTCCTCCTCATCCCTGGCCTCCTCGCCCCCGACTACCTCCCCGCCCGCCTCGCCCGTCAAGAGCAGCGCCTACGTGCAGTTGCGATCTCAGGCTCCGTCGACCGCCCCGGACCTACCCCCGCCCTCCTACCACGAGGCCACCGAGCCGCCGCCCTATCACGAGGCCACCTCCTCCTCCTCCATCCTCTTCTCCCAGAAGATGGAGAAACAGCAGCGACAACAGCAGCAGCAGCAAGGTCCATCTTCTTCTTCTTCACCCTTCGCCAAGCCCGTGCCCATCCCCCGGCGCGCGGCCCCGCCCCCTCCTCTCCCCGAGAAGCCGGCGAAGGCGTCGACGAGAGTGGTGGAGACGGTACCTCCCCCCGCCCCCGAGCTGGGCTCCGCGGAGAGTGAGCTGGCCCACAGCGTGGGGTCCCGCCGAGGCGTGGTGGTTACACGGAGTAATTGCGTGGATGATCTTATCATGCCGGAGGAGCACATGCAGAGACATGACGAGGATGATGACGGGTAAGTCGGTTTTACGTTGTTGTTGTTGTTTGTTGCTGTTGGTGGTGGTGTTGTCGTCGTTGTTGTTGTTGTTACTGTTGGTATTGCTGGTGTTGTTGTTGCTGATTTTACTGCTACTGTTGGTGGTGTTGGTGTTATTGTTGTTGCAGTTGTTGTTTATGTTGTTGCAGCATATTTTGTTGTTGTTATACAATTTCATAATTTTATTTTTTCACTTTCACATTTTCCACATACTATATTAGGACATTGTTCTCTGACACTGTCTGGGCAAATACGTGGGGAATAAAGAGGCCACAGATCTTATATTGTTATATCCAACGTCTTTACTATCCGTCAATTACATGTATGTCGCTTTGTCTTCCTTTTCTTCCACGTGAAATGACCGCAAGTGGTTGAAGGGCACTACTAGTAGGTCCTTCTTCCTTACTTTCCTCTGTTGTTTCTGTATGTCCATTGTGTCTATGTGCTTCTCTTTACTAAAACAAACAATTAACGAAATGACTGTGCTGTCTTGTCTGTGTGCTTTTCTAACTAGATCAAGAAAAAAACCCCCAATGTTAACGGGTGTACTGGCAAGTTCTACTCGTTAAATTTTTATATCCACTGTTTTTCTCTGTCTGTTGGACTCTTTAGTTGTACACTAAAACAACGGTTATTTTGTCTATGTGCTTTTCTTTATCCAAACAAATAGACGTGTTTCAACCACATCGCTTTTGTGCAGATTCCAACCACCACCAAGAATTGTAGCGAATATCATCATCGTCATAATAGATACTTCGAAAATGTGCAATCCCCCCAAAAACAAACACACAAATGACTATAACCCCCCCAAAAAAAACAACAAACAAACAAACAAAAAAAACACACAAAAAACAACAAACTAACGGAGACACCGAATGACAATATATAAAAAATCTACATCTTCAATATCTTCACGTCCTTTTCTCTGTAGTCAAGAATGTCATCGCCTATCAAAGTATGGA